AATAGCAGACTTTGCCCTTCCATTGCTGAGACGTTTCTCTCTACGTTAGTAGCGGCAAGAGGAATTAAATATTATATATTCATGCGAGATTTGATCCGTCATGATTCATAATTTATTTGCTTTATGTATGAATTTTGTTTTATTTTAGTAAGCGGTTTATGGTACTTGCAAGACAAGTAGGTCACCCTTCATTGCATTCCTTGTCTCATTCGTTTAAAATGTCCTACCAGCATAAACAGTCAGCCTTCACTTCAGGTGGACGATTCTTTTGTGGAGAGAGAGAGAGAGAGAGAGAGAGAGAGAGAGAGAGAGAGAGAGAGAGAGAGAGAGAGACAGACAGACAGACAGACAGACAGACAGACAGACAGACAGACAGACAGACAGACAGACAGACAGACAGACAGACAGACAGAGAGAGAAAGACAGGGGTAGGGGGGGGGTGCTGCTATATTCTATCAAAAAGTTGTACCAACAGTATATACCTTTTCATGGTTTCTGTTTTCACTTTTAGAATCTGAACTTCCACTAAACACTTCATTTCTGAAAATGCAAGTGATACCGAAGAGAAACGCACTTTGGAAAAAAAGTAATTAATAAATTGGCTTTGTACATCTGAATAGCTGACCTGCATTTTGGTATTTCGAAGGTGTAGAACTATTTTTTATGTGACGACATCATGCTGGAAAGCAACAAACTGAAGAAATGAAGAGAGAAAAAAATATTATATACCCAAATCGGATACGAACCAAAACTTCTGCGTTCAAATGAAGCGTGAAACCAAGCCCTACAACAGTACGGTACATGGTTGAATGTAGGGAAGATATTTGAAATGAAATCTATCTTATTTATTTTTTCCATTTCTTTTATTCATAATGTATCTATTACTTAAAGCATTCTGCTTCCCGTGTTTTCGTCTCTACCAAAATCGTACAAATCTTCCTTTAATATTCTATTTTTGTCTGATTGATTCCTTTCCCCTTTTCCAGTCTATTTTTTTTATTCATGAGAGCATCCCCAACTGATCCCGAGTTCGTGGAGATCCGTTACTGTTGTAGTGACGTCAGGAAAGTCGACGTTTACCATGCAACGCACGCTCCGAATGGTAGTTTCACATTTTATTGAGCCCTTCGGGATTGACCCTTTTCTACCGAGGTATTCATGAGTTGACTGCGAGACACGAAACAAGATGTTTTCTCGAGAGATCTCAAAATTCATGAAATCCGAGGACAATGGGGTCTATATGTAGGATACTTCTTGACGCGAGAGATCTTCTTCGTATCCTTGTAAAGAAGGGGACTGAGGTGAACGAATGTAATTATGGTGGAGTTTAATTCTTTTCGACGCGTCAGTGCTATGCTACTAAAGAACATTTCTTCACCCACCTTTCCTCCATATACACTTAGACACAGACATACAGACATACACACACACACACACACACACGCACACTCACGCACACTCACGCACACACACGCAAGCACACACACACACAGGCACACAGGCACACTCACGCTCACACACGCAAGCACGTACGAACACGAACGCATATACACACATTCACATCCAAGTTCACTTACAAATTACACTCAGGTAGAGAAAGAGAGAGAGAGAGAGAGTGAGAGAGAAAAGGGGGGGGGGGGGGCAGGAGGGAGGGGGGTTAAGAAGCGCGAGACAGAAACAAAGACTTTGAGAGTCGAAGAAGACTTATGAAAGAGAGAGAGAGAGAGAGAGAGAGAGAGAGACAGACAGAGAGAGAGAGAGAGAGAGAGACAGAGAGACAGAGACAGAGACAGAGAGAGACAGAGACAGAGAGACAGAGACAGAGACAGAGAAAATGAGAGAGAGAGAGGCAGACAGGCAGACGGACACACATACAGACAGGCAGACAGACAGACAGATAGACAGAGGGACGGACAAACAGAAACAGAGACAGAGAGTTAGAGGAAGAGAGAGTCAGACAGGCATATAACATAATAACCGTAATATAATAATAATGATATTATATCTGAGAGGAAAACTTAAATATTGGACCCCAACACAGCAGAACGATGTTAGAAAAGCAAAACACGGAGTTATATCCCCCTACGAGGAAAAGATTGTATTAAATACCCCAGTTCGTCGGCTGGGATATAATTTCCCACTATATCCCTGGTCATCCGGACAGACATGAAGAAGTAGTCCCTTAAAAAAAAAAAGAAGTGAAAAATTAAAAGAAAAACTGTCTGGATTTACACAACAAGGGCGTAAAATAGCTCTCGTCAGACGCATTATAGGGATATGACACTCTAGCCCCAATCTATAGACTTGAATAATAATAATACCCTAGATCAGGCGCTATCATGGCTGCCTCACTTTGCTTTCTAGGAGAAACTTGGCTGTGCCAGTGCACGATACATAGGCACTCAAATAAAGGGGACATTTTGGTTAAAGCCGAGTGCACATGCACCGTTTCCCTTCTTGCACTATTTTCTTGCAAAACTGGTCAAATGGTGCGATCCAC